AATCTGTGTGATCTAATGGGTCTTTGGGAGGTAATTGGCAGCAGGCGGTCTCTCAAGTACCCAAGTCCAATACCATGAAGGGCTTTATAAGTGACTTGGAGTTGGGACACCAAACACTAGCTGGTGTGAACTTCAGCCTTGGAGATGAGATTTCCTCTACTTCATTTGAGGACAGCAAAACTGTTCCACTCTAAGAAGGCGACATGGCATACATTAGAGTCATATGGCTTTCACATAATATTGTTCCATTAAGCCACATTGGTTGCATTCACACAACCTAGCTACTGAATTTAACTATTTGGGGCAGTTGCACCAGGTATTGAACCATAAACAATTGAATTCATGCATCATGTCAAACTAACAAATAATCAAGGTTAAAACTAGTCAAGCTTAAAGTGTTATACGAATGTAGACTTTATCTCATGAATACTTTAATAGACCCATTCAATACACTATGCAAACATAGAAAGTATAGAATTCCATCAAACTCGGTTGACATAATTTGTTGAGTAGAATACAGAGAGTTTATTTATTTTTATTTTATTTATTTATTTGATTTGTCAATTGTTTACAAGAGAATAGGTATAAGAATAAACATGAGTATGAATGAAATGGGTACAAATAAATGGGGACTGTAGGATAGGGATGGTGGGCACAATGGTGCACTTATGCATGCCCCTTACAGACCTCTTAGGAATGGGGTGAGGTCAATAGTAGAGAGTTTAAGGTTAAAGTTATGAGGATTTGAAGATATAACAACACAGTCAGGTAAATCAGTGTTTCCCAAAGTCATGCTATAGTGGGACAAATTAGTGTGTAACCAACAGGGACTAGAGGACTGTACAGGGTGTACGCTATACAATCTCACTATCAAGCAACACTCTTTGGAGCTCAACACATTTTCCCAAAACTAGGAACTTACCATAGCCCAAGACTGGCATGGCCTGCTGCAGACAAGAGGGAGCCTCTTCAGTCTTCATCCTCCAGGCCTGGCAGCAGAAGATGGGCCTGTCAAAGAGAAGCTAGTCATCAAAATAGGAGCGATAAGGAAAGACAGACTAGATTATGCTGTACTCAAGATAGGAGAAAGTGTTTGTTTTCCATAAATCCATCTTCAACCTGCCAGCTGGGAAATTCCAAATGGGGTAAATAATTTAGTTAGTTAGAGACTGTTTTGGATTTTGGAATGGGACTGTCATCATTTGTTCTCTAGCCTCATAACTTGTATGTATCTCCAGCAATTACATCAGGGACAGACAATCTGCAGGCAACATATTACCCTTGACTGCAAAAAGTTCAGCTTGAAAGGTCTATAGCAATCTGTGGATGCTATCACGATACAATGCTGCCGGTGATTATTAATTTTTTTCCACCAGGTAAAAAATTAAATCCACTTAAATAAGTTTTTCAACAGTAAAAGCAACTTAGCAGTGGGGCAAATTTCTGAAGAAAGTAATGAGCTGCTTTTTTTCTGGATGATTTGAAGCAGAAGCTGGACAACTGACATACTGAAGGGAGATGGGCAGCAAACAACTCAAATAAATAGATAAAATGTATTTGCTCAAATACTTGCATAAAGCTAGACTTTTCACTAAGTAGCCTTGATTTCCCTTTTCATCTCCATGATTTATGAATCTGCTATTTGTAGATGAGGGCTTTGGTGTGTTCTTATTCATGTTAGAGGAATCACTAACTATATTTAAAAGCCTAGGAACAGTCCCACACTTTTTCTGATCAGTTGACAATGCTCTCTCAACAGTTCTCCGAAGTTGTCACTGAACAATGGTGTTATTTTTATCATCGTATAAAGAGAAAGAGAAACCTCATATTGTACTAAACCATAATGTGATCTGTTTTTTTTTTAGGGTCTCTAAAGTTAGGGTGTTATGTGAATCTAGGCAATTATAGTTATGAAAAAAATCTTAGTCTGTGATTTAGAGTGATGAGTGAATTCAGTTAATCAGCCCATGATCAAGATAAAATGCATATCATTCTTATTTCATAACCATGTATGGTCCCTCCACTCTATAATAAACAAATATCCTCATTTTAAAAACATGTCTGCAAAAGATAGCATGAAAGACATGTTACATGGTTACCTGGGAGATATTAAAATGAGATCTTCATTAGTTTTTTAAAGAGTCAAATGGGAAATGTCTAGCTTGCTTCCAGTGTCAAATGAATTCTGATCATGATTATCCAGAAGAAATGCTCTTCCTTTTACTTGTTTGTAATATTCTACAACTGATTCTAAGGTTAAATCAGAATTATAATTGCTGTAACACAGGATTGCAGTTGTAAAGAATTCAGCTGTGTTCGGCAAGTTCTTGCCATAGTAGAATTATTATTTTTTGTTTCTTTGTGAATATCAACATCTTTCCTTCGCATACTCCTATTTTTCTGAAATCCCCCCTCAAGAGCCATAGTATTATAGTAATAGGAAGTGTAATAATATATACAATAAGTCTATGAATTAATGCCTCCCAAGATATGTAGTACTACAGTGCTCATCGTCCCTAACTCTAAGACAAGCAATAACCATAATGTCTAAGAATTATGCCATGTCTAACAGATCTGGACTGCAACTCTCTGAACCACCACTAAGTGACAGTGAAATCTCTTCCATTTTGCTGCCTTCTAGTGGTTTTTTGGATTTGTGCAGCCCAAATTGTGGCTACTAACATTGATTGTTGTCTTAATGCCCAAGTAGCTAGCAGGTGAGAAAAAGAGGATGGAGCCCTCATCACAAAAATGTGATTCTCACTTCCCTTTTGAATTGTTCTGAAAGAGCTGGTATATGCTCACAGCACACACTGCTCTGAGGCTATTGGCTTTTTGTAATGTTTTAGGACAAAAGATTGATACTGATCATGGGTCTGATTAGGACAAGTTCTGGGCATCCTATTAAATTAAAATGCACTTTGCAGTTCTAGTCTTTGCCTTGTATAATAAAGGTAGTAATCAGTGGTGGGTTTCAAAAATTTTTGGAACCTACTCTGTGGGTGTGGCCTCCTTTGTGGGAGTGGCTTGCCAGCCATGTGTCCAGGTGGGAGTCGCTTGCTGGCCATGTGTTTGCTTTCTCTCTCTCTCTCTCTCTCTCTCTCTCT